AGTGGAAATTTTGAGTAGTTTGGCGAACCAGCAAATATCACCTCTGGCTGGCCCCAGAGTGGGGTGGCAATGGAGATTTTGCAGTATCCTTCCCCTGGAGTGAGGGGGGGATGGGGATTTTGCAGTATCCTTCCCCTGGAGTGGAGAGGGAATGGAGATTTTGCAGTATCCTTCCCCTGCCACGCCCACCAAACCACGCTCACCAAGCCACACCACGCCCACTGAGCCACGCCCACAGAACCAGTAGTAAAAAAAAATTGGATTTCACCACTGCTTGACTCCCTCTTCTTTGGGGCAGCCCCTGAGATATTGGAACACTGCTACCATGTATCCCCTAGTCCTCCTTTTCATTAAACTAGACATACCCAGTTCCTGCAACCGTTCTTCATATGTTTTAGCCTCCAGTCCCCTAAAATCCTCTTGGTGGCTCTTCTCTGCACTCTTTCTAGAGTCTCCACATCTTTTTTACATCGTGGCGACCAAAACTGGATGTGGGATTCCAAGTGTGGCCTTACCAAGGCCTTATAAATTGGTGTTGACTTATTCCTTTTTCAGGAATCTCAGATTATATCCAAACCTAAATGAAGCAAAATGGGGTTTTCCATCCCCCTCAAAAAAAAATAATCTTAGCTTAGCATGTTCTGCTGATGTAACCACAAGGTTTTTACCGATCTGCTTATACGCGTCGTGCGAACAGAATGAAGTCGCTGTTTTGTTTCAGCATGATAGGCAACCTTCTGTTTTTACCTATTATTGTTATACGAGAAAGAATGGATTCTATTAAAGTTGATATAATAAAGAGCAACGGAATTACCTTGGAAGGAAGTGAGGGGGGGGGGGAACCCCCTACTGCCGCCTACATGGTTTATATTACTTTAAAAAAAATACATCTATCAACTTCTACCTCTGTTTTATAGAATAATTGCTGAGTTTTTCCCGAGGAGTTTTGAGTGAGAGGGGAATTTCTGGCTCAGCTGCACAAAAAAGCTTGCAACTTGCTTTCTGACAGATCTCCATTAAAATTGAGAATGGACATCACGCCATGCATGGGGGGAGATGTTGGATGAGCTGTTGACCCCAGTGTCATGATATGTGGGGATGACCTCAGGAGAGAGAAGCAAGAATCACTGACAACTGATAAGAGGCAGCTGAGCCCTCAGAAAGAAAGGGGCATGGCAAACTTCTCAGAAGTTCTCAGAATAATAGAGTTGGAAGGGACTTTGGAGGTCCATCCACTGCTCAAGTGGGAGATCCTATACCGTTTCAGACAAATGGCTGTCCAGTCTCTTCTTAAAAGCCTACAGTGATGGATCACCCACAACTTCTGGAGGCAAGCTGTTCCACTGGTTAATGGTTCTGTCAGAAAATTTCTGATGTGGCCCGCCAACGGCCAGCGGAGCTGGTGGCAGACTCAAGACAGTGAAGAGGTTGGGGAGGAACACGGGCCAGTCCTGGAGTCTGGGAAAGGCTCTGATGAGGGCTCTGGGTCGGAGGCAGAGATGGGACCAGGGCCATCCGAATGTTGTCAGCTGCCTTCGGAGTCGGACATCAGTGGGGCAGAAGAACTGTTGAAGCCTGTTCCCAGTGTGTGCATGCACAGAGCTGCCAGGAGAAGGGAACAGCTAAGGAACAAGGGGCGACTCAGGAGTAAAGCCACAGATGGACGGTGAGTGGCTCCTCCCATAGGGAATAAAGAGGAGCGAAAGGGGACGGGAGTTTGCAGGAGACAGTTAGTTCGCTTAATTGGTTCATGACTCTCCTTGCCAAGTTTTGAAGATATCAGCCTGGCAGCTCGCCAAGCCAGATAAGGTCTGCGACTGTAAATTCTCCCTTGAAGGACTTTGCTGGATGTGAATGAGAGGAATTCACAGTAACTTAATAAACAGGGATTTTTGTCGGGAAAAGGAGTCTGTTTCAAGCTCTTGGGAAGCCTAGGACAGAACAATTTCTAGTTCTAGGTGGCTTCTCTTCTTGATTAGTTTCCATCCATTGCATCTCAATCAAACATCTCAAAAGAGACCCTCCCTAGTTTCTTGAATTGTAAAAATGTGTGTGTGGGGGGGGGGAGATGTCCTGAGGCCAGAACAGGAAGCAATGGGTGGAAACTAATCAAGGAGAGAAGCAACTTAGAACCAAGGAGAAATTTCCTGACAGTGGGAGTAATTCATCAGTGGAACAACTTGCCTCCAGAAGTTGTGAATGCGCCAACACTGGAGTTTTTTAAGAAGAGGTTGGATAACCATTTGTCTGAAGTGGTGTAGGATTTCCTGCCTAAGCAGTGGGTTGGACTAGAAGACCTCCAAGGTCCCTTCCAACTCTTATTCTATTCTATTCTATTCTATTCTATTCTATTCTATTCTATTCTATTCTATTCTATTAATTCTATTCTATTCTACTCTACATTCCAATACTCTACTCTACTCTACTCTTCATTCCAATATTCTACTCTACTCTACTCTACTCTACTCTATTCTATTCCAATATTCTATTCTATTCTATTCTATTCTATTCTATTCTATTCTATTCTATTCTAATTCTATTCTATTCTACATTCCAATACTCTACTCTACTCTACTCTTCATTCCAATATTCTACTCTACTCTATTCTTCATTCCAATATCCTATCCTATCCTATCCTATCCTATCCTATCCTATCCTATCCTATCCTAATTCTATTCTATCTAGTTTCAAAGTGCCCAACACAGCACAACGTGCCCTGATCACAGAAAAAGATCTTGCTGAACGAGTGGATTTGATCCATTAATGTCCACATTCTTATAAATATCCCCAGGCAGTGCGGAGGGGGAGACAAGAATTAATGTGCTCAGAAGTCAAAAGTCACCAAGGGCCTCTGTCCTCCCCGAGATAAGAGATTGGAAGCTTTTCTTAAGAAAACTTATGAAGTCAGCACCTAGGAGGACAAACTTTGATTGATGAGGGTGGGATCCTGACAGCCGCTGCGGATAAATACCCCTATCTCCCCAAGGAAAATGGCCATCAAGCATGGCTGGAAGGTGGAGATGTTCGCTGCAGCGGAAGTTCTACGAAGCAAATGTCACCTTTAGAAATAATAAATGCCAGCCCGGTGATCCTTCCTCGCCGAAGCCAATGGGGTGGCTTCCTGGCAGCCTGCTCCGAAGAGCAGACTGCATCACAGATGGCTCGAGAGGGAATTCTAACAAGGAACTCGTACCAGAAGCAAATCTGATTTGCGGCTTTCTCATTCGGGTTTCCTGGGTTAGAAAGAGTAGAAGTAACGCAGTTGGAGGCCTCAAGAGGATGGCGTGGACAGCACGGAGTTGACCTTGAAGATGTAATTCAAAGAGCTGGATCATTCCTGATTCTCTGGGGTAGAAGATGAGGAAGGGAAGGACAAGGCAGTCAGGAGAATCCTGCAAGATTCTGTTAGCAGGTTTCCATAAAAATCTAGTTCTAGTCATTGTCAGGATTCCCACGGATGCCCTAATTAAATCATGAGTCTTGAGCCAATTTCAAAAGGAATCCAGTTATCTATTAGGAGCTTCATGTCGGCACATTCCCAAGTGAAGCCAGCTCTGACCCTACGTAATTTACGCTCCAATTATGATGCTGTTTCTCCCCCTCCCCCCGGGGTGTTACATCAATTGCCAATGGAGCAATTTCACGGGTTGTAGAGGTCACTCCCCTTCGGCTGCTGTAGGTATCCCTGGGATACAGCCTTGAGTGAGATAAGCGTGGAATGTGCATCTGTTTTTGGCTGCTGTGCAGTTTTTCGTCAGTTTTCCATCCCCCCTGGCCTATGACAACTCAAGAGCAGGCGAGGGATGCTTTGCGAGTTGACAGTCATCCTGTGGACTCTCTTTCTTGATCTGGTCCACCTTCCAGGACTGACCATCATCAAATCCGATCTTCTTGATGAGGTAGAAGAAGATGGGAAAAGAAAGGACGATGCAGTCAGGAGAATGACCTTGGAGAAGTAATTCAGAGAGAGTTATAAAACATGTCTTGGGAACAGGGAAAGGGTTCAGAAGAGACCCAGGCTGGATCTTCTCTGACTGGCTTGGATAGAAGATTGGGAAGGGAAAGACAATGCAGCTAGGAGAATCCTGAAAGATTCCATTAGCCAGTTTCCATAAAATCTAGTTCTAATCATCCCGCGGACTCTGTTTTTGATCTAGTCCACCTTCAAGGAGCGGCCGTCATCAAGTCCAATCTGCTTCTTAATGCAGGACCTCCCAAAGTATCAGGATGAAGCAGTCCAACCTCTGCTTGAAGACTTGAGAAAGGAAGGACTCGCATTATAATGCCACTGTCATTGTTCAGGTGGTTTAAGCACCCCAAAACCCAAATCTGTCCTCCTGTACCTTAAGTCAAACAATTCGTTAGAACCAAAATACAACAGATGGAACTCAAAGAGAGCCAATTCTACCCAGATCCGAATCTGTTCTCCTATATATCTTGTCGAACACTTGCTAAAACCCAAAATATAACAGATGGAAGTCAAAGAGAGATGATTCCAGCTATTGTTCCCACTTCTAGCATAGTAAACATTATTTTTTGAGGCCGATAGCCATATTCAGGATGTCCTCTATGTCATTTGTCTTCTTCTGCTTCCTTCCACCATGCCAAGCATCACCATCGTAGCAGTGGTGAAATCCAATTTTTTTTTACTACCGGTTCTGTGGGCATGACTTGGTGGGCATGGTGTGGCTTGGTGGGCGTGGCTTGGTGGGCATGGCAGGGGAAGGATACTGTAAATTCTCCATTCCCACCCCGCTCCAGGGGAAGGATACTACAAAATCCCCATTCCCTCCCCATTCCTGGGGTAAGGATATTGCAAAATCTTCATTCCCACCCCACTCCTGGGGGAAGCATACTGCAAAATTCCCATTCCCATCCCACTCTGGGGCCAGCCAGAGGTGGTATTTGCCAGTTCTCTGAACTGCTCAAAATTTCCACTACCGGTTCTGTAGAACTTGCTATATTTCACCCCCAACCATGAGATCAATAAGGGCCATTCCTGACGTTTTAGAAAATATTTATTCCGAAGAAAAGTTCACTCCTTACAAATTTGAACTGGAACATTCTCAATATTGCAATACGGGTTTTATATATATAAAAAAGGCTTAAGATGGATGCAATAAAAACAATTTCTTTGTGGTTTTTTTTCTTTTTAAATTACACAGCTAAAACTAAAAAAAAAAACAACAGCTCCAAGGGAAGTTACTTTTAAGGATATACATTTAAATTTGTCAAGAGCTGAAAAACCAAAAAAAAAAAAAAAAGCGGCTTTTGAAGGGTTTTCAAAAGTTTTTTGGGGGGGATTTGAGCGAATGGGTTACTTCCAAATACTTGTTTTAACGGACGACAGTTTCAGGTTGAGGGATTCGCCAACCCAGAATTAAGTTCACTTTCACCGTAGAAAGTTCATAGAAGTAGCACAATTTGATCATTTCCTGGGGTTTTTCTTTGTTTTTTGTTTTAACCAACTAGCAACTGAAACAATGAACAACACCAACAAAAACAAGAGTTTTTTTTTTTTTTCCTGTACATCTTTCTTACAAAAAATCGCTGTACAATGCCCCCTAAACTCGCCTACATTTTTGGCTGGATTAAAATGATCTTTCAACTGTCTTTGTAATCAACTAGAAAGTAAACGGTTAAAAACTTCGCACATCAGTATCCTCAAAGAGGGGATAATTCTTCTTTTTAAAAAAAAAAAAAATTGGCAAGGACTCCTAGGCAAGTCTCAAAACTCTCGCCCCCGGCATCTTCGCTCTTCTTGCTCACGGCATAAAATAAAAGACGGTTCGACGTGCAAAAAATTCAAATCTCGTCCTTTTAGATGATTTTCCTCGGAATGGAGCGATGTCAAGCATGATGAGGAAGGAATCTTTTAAACTTTTGAGATGAGAGTCTAAAAACACAACAGGTCATGGAAACATGATCACGCCGGAAAACCATCAGGGTCGAGACGGGTGAAGAACCATCCGTGATCGGTCTTGAAGGCCCTCATCCGTATCTCAACGGGCTTCGCTATCGTCCCAAGTCTTCAGGACACGTCTACAGCCACGGATGCCAGGCTGGGTCCATGCGGCACAGGTTGTCCAAGCTGTTCGCGGCCGCAACCAAAGTGTTGACTTTGCTCTCTCCGCCTTCGAACTGGGCCAGGTTATGGAGCCTGGTCATGATGGCGGTCACAGCTTTCTGAACCAGTGACACCAGCTGTTGGCTGTCCATGTTCTCCGGCTGCCCGGCTGCTGAGAGCGGAGAGGAGGTGTCCTCCTGGGTCTTCTTATGCCAAGCAATGGTTTCATCCCGCAGCACTGTTTTCAGGATGCCGTCGACCTAGAAGGGAACGGAATAACAGAATGAGGAGGTGGAAGGAACCGTGAAGGGCTTCTTGTCCAACTCTTGCCCATGACAAGAGACCCTGTACCATTCCAGACAAATGGCTATCCAATCTCTTCTTGAAAACTTCCAGAGATGGAGCACCCACAACCTCTGCAATTTAATTAATTGCTTTCCAGAAGATGGAGCACAACTTCTGAAGGCAACCCGTTGCACTGATTAATATTTTTTTTAAAAATTTGATTTATATGCCGCCCTTCTCTGGAGACTCAGGGCGGCTTACAATGTGCTCAGCAATAGCCTTCATCCTTTTTGTATATTTATACAAAGTCAGCTTATTGCCCCCACAAACTGGGTCCTCAATTTACCTACCTTAGAAAGGATGGAAGGTTAAGTCAACCTTGAGCCTTGGCGAGATTCGAACCAGCAGTAATTGCAGGCAGCTGGTCTTAATAACAGGGGTGCTTTAGACCACTGTACTACCAAGGCTCTTAGACCACTATACTTTAGACCACTGTAGACCACTTTAGACCACTGTACTACCAATTGATCTCACTGTCAGGCTCCAGTCCCCCAATCCTCTTTGTTGCTCTTCTCTGCAGTCTTTCCAGCGTTTCAACATCTTTTATTTTTATATATTTACATTTATATATATATTTATATTCCTCCATACCCGTCCTGCGAGTCCCTTGGACTGCAAGGCGATCGAACCGGTCAGTCCTAGAGGAGATCAACCCTGACTGCTCTTTAGGCCAGATCCTGAAGAGGAAACTCAAATACTTTGGTCACCTAAGGAGAAGGAAGGACTCCCTGGAGAAGAGCCTAATGCTGGGAATTATGGAGGGCAAAAGAAGAAGGGGACGGCAGAGAACGAGGTGGCTGGATGGAGTCACTGAAGCAGTCGGCCTGATCTTAAATGGACTCCAGAGGATGGTAGAGGACAGGAAGGCCTGGAGGAACGTTGTCCATGGGGTCGCAATGGGTCAGACACGACTTCGCGACTAACAACAACAACAAAATATTCCTCTTATTTATATTCATTTAATAAGGGGAGAGTTTGAATTCACAGTCTGGACCAAGCCACAAGCACTGAAGCAGGAGGTTTTATACTTCAGAAACATATACACTGTTAAAATATTTTAATCTGATTCTCTTTTGGTGAATGGAGTGGGGAGGTTGCATTTATGATCATTTATCCAGGATAAGAATCATAATTTATTACAATTTATGATCATTTATCCTGGGCGATCATCACAATCTGTTACAATTGACGCTAATTTGGCACAATTTATGATAATGTCTCCAGGGTGATAATCGTAATTTATTAGGAATGTAAATTTCTTTATTGAGGTCATTAACTGACAGGACTGAACTGATATTCCAATATTCAGAATATCCAAATCTATATTGGCAATATCAGGATACTTGTGAAAGTCTGAACAGACAAAATATTGCTTTGCAGATGGCATTTCGTTCATTAATTGTTGTTAATCTTAATTTTAATGCTTTTAATACCCTTATATTGATGTTTGATAGATCTGTAAGCCACCCAGAGTAACTCGAGACAATGTAACGGGTGGCATATAAATTTAATAATAAAGAGAAACTAAAGAGAAACAGTTTGGTTAAGGCACCAGCCTGGAAACCAAGAAATGGTGAGTTCTAGTCCTTTGATGTGAATGCCATCTGGGTGACTTTGGGCCAGTCACCAGGAGACTGGGAGTTCTAGTCCTGCCTTAGGCATGAAAGCCAGCTGGGTGATTTTAAGTCAATCACCAGGAAACTGTGAGTTCTAGTTCCGCCTTAGGCATGAAAGCCAGCTAAGTGACTTTGGACCAATCACCAGGAGACTGGGAGTTCTAGTCCCACCTTAGGCATGAAAGCCAGCTATGTGACTCTGGACCAATCACCAGGAGACTGGGAGTTCTAGTCCAGCCTTAAGCATGAAAGCCAGCTGGGTGACTTTGGGCCAATCACCAGGAGACTGGGAGTTCTAGTCCTGCCTTAGGCATGCCAGCCAGCTGAATAACTTTTGAGCCAATCATTCTCTCCCAGCCAACCCACCTCGTAAGGTTATCGTTGTGAGGAAAACATGAGGAGGAAGATATATTGGATATGTTCACTGCCTTGCGTTACTTGTAAAAATATTAACGGAAACACACAAATAAACACACAAATCACTCACGCCCTTGTCACCTCACGCCTGGATTATTGTAATGCTCTCTACATGGGGCTCCCCTTGAGAAGCACCCGAAGGCTCCAACTGGTCCAGAATGCGGCCGCGCGGGTGGTAATGGGAGCAATGTGGCGCTCTCATGTAACCCCCCTCCTGTGCGAGCTGCACTGGCTCCCAGTGGTCTTCCGGGTGCGCTTCAAGGTTTTGGTTACTATCTTTAGAGCGCTCCATGGCTCAGGACCAGGGTACTTACGAGACCGCCTCCTGCCACCAATAGCCTCTCACCGACCAGTTCGCTCCCATAGAGAGGGACTCCTCAGGGTGCCGTCGGCCAAACAATGTCGACTGACGGCCCCCAGGGGGAGAGCCTTTTCTGTGGGGGCACCTGCCATCTGGAACGAGCTCCCCCCGGAGATACGGAGGATCCAAGACTTACGCATCTTCCGCCGCGCCCTAAAACGTTTCTATTCCAACAGGCTGGTCTGGCCTAACTCTCCCTTTTTAATTGGCTTTTAAACTGGCTTTTAAATTGGGTTTTAAACCTCTTTAGATAAATTTGGATGTTTTTTAATCTTTGAGCCTAAATTACTTAATCTGTTTCTAAATAGTTTTTAACTTCTATATGTATTTGTATTTATTATGGCTGTTCACCACCCTGAGTCCTTCGGGAGTAGGGCGGTATACAAATATGAAAAATAAATAAATAAATAAAATAAATAAATAATCAATCCATCTATTTAAAGTCAATCCATCCACAAATGTTCTGGTACCGAAGGGATCGACCAGGTGCCCTTCTCAGCACACTGATCCAGCGCCAGAGCAGCTACTACACACTTACTTTGAAGTTCGGCTGAGCAAAACAACGAGCCACGGCAATCATGGATGCTGTGAGGGGCCCGGAGACCCCGATGGTGGTGAGGAACTCCGAAATGTTTGGGGTAAGTCGGAACGGGACGGGTCTGTTGGCGTCCAGATCCCCGGTAGCGTCGTTGATGTCAAACCGGAAATAGGCCACGTTTAATTTGCCCGTATCCTAAGGTTGGAAATGAAAACACAAGCACAACGTTGGAAGGAACGACAGAGAAAAGGGGGGGGGAAGAAAATCTACTCCAAAACAATAATGCACAGCCTGGGGCCCCCGGGGGTCCTCTTAAAACCTTCAGGGTGGCCCCCGGAGGCTTCCAAACACTTCTACCCAAAAATTGTTAACGTGATGGAAAGAGACAATGTACAGGTGGTTCTCGACTTACGACGGTTTGTACAACGAACGTTTGAAGTTACGACGCATTGAAAAAAAGGGACTTATGACCGTTTTTCACACTTAACGACCAATGCAGCATCCCCATGGTCACGTGATTAAAATTCAGACACAACCGGCTCATATTTATGATGGTTGCAAAGTCCTGGGGGTGATATATGATACCCTTTTGCGACCTTCTGATGAGCAAAGACAATGGGGAAGCCGGATTCACTTCATACAACGGTACGTCACCACTGCAGGGATTCACTTAACGTCTGTGGCAAGAAAGGTCGTAAAATGGGGCAAAACTTGCTTTAATCCAACATCCCGCTCAGCGTCGGAAATTTTGGCCCTTTGTTGCGGTCGCACATCGAGGACTTCCTGTATCACAGAAGTGGAAGGAGCCCCATTCAGTGGCTAAGTGTGGTCGCGTTCAATTAGTGCAATTTTAATGACAATGGAAAGGGACACGGTGGCTTAGGGGCTAAGACGCTGAGCTTGTCGATCGAAAGGTCGGCAGTTCAGCGGTTCGAATCCCGAGTGCCGCGTAACGGGGTGAGCTCCCGTGACTTGTCCCGGCTTCTGCCAACCTAGCAGTTCGAAAGCACGTTAAAAAAAAATGCAAGTTGAAAAATAGGGACCACCTTTGGTGGGAAGGGAACAGCGTTCCGTGCGCCTTTGGCGTTGAGTCATGCCGGCCACATGACCACGGAGACGTCTTCGGACAGCGCTGGCTCTTCGGCTTTGAAACGGAGATGAGCACCGCGCCCCCTAGAGTCGGGAACGACCAGCACATACGTGCGAGGGGAACCTTTACCTTTATCTTAATGACAATGGGTTTAGACTTTAACCCTCACCCCCCCCCCCTTCCCTCAACATTTTTTGGCCTGTGGCCCGCTAGAGATTTCGGATTGGAAAAAAAGAGGGGGGGGGAGCCCTCCTCCTATTCAATTGTAGGCGACGTTTCTGATAGACGAGGTCGACGGTCACGCGGAATGCAAAGAGCCGCTTTTCCCAACCCGCTCAGGCAGGATCGGCACAGCGAGGTTAACAAGAAATTCAGCTTCGAACGCAGCCCTCTATTAACCGGCGTATAAAGATGACAGGTATAAACTCTCTCAGCAAGGTATCAATCCCGAATAATGGCTTCTTTTGTTGTGCTGCCGGATGGGTCGGCCCGAGCGGGGAGGAGAGGGGGGGGGGAAAAAAAAAAGCTCGTGTTTGCTTTTTTTTTTTTTTTTTTTTTCCCCCCGGATAGGAACTTTCGATGGACTCCCTGACAATGCAGCTGAAAAGAAACGGTTGAGAATTGGAAGGAAGGGAGGGGGGAGGGAGGGGGAGGGGAGGGTCCATTAAAATTTTCAGCGAACTCAGCATCTTTTTTGCCTTAAGAGCAAGCCAAGGAAAAGATGAAAAAAAGAGTTTCTGGACTTCCTTCTCAACCTCTTCGCTTCTCCGCAGTGGCCGGAGAAGACATTGGAGGATCCTTCTCTGTGGTGAACCGACGGGTTGTATCTTGCGTGTATGGGTGTAGGCAACGAGCAGACGCGTTGTATCTGTGTGTTAAGGGTGTGGGCAATTTCTCCCCAGCTCCCCAAACACGACAAACCCTCTGTATTTAAATCAATGATTCCTTTATTAGGAGCACCGGCAGCCCCGGCAAAAGGTTTCTCTCTCACCGCAGGCTAACAAGTCTGTCCGGCAGGGAGATGAATAGTTGTCTGCCACACCTATTCATCTCCGCCCCCTGCCTTTTATCCCCAGAGCTAGGGTGGGGTTTTGCTAGCAGCGGTGGCTCTTCTGTCCCAAGGACCGGCCTATAGATTTCCACTGCTCTCCTCTCCTCTGCCTTCTGTGCATTCGTGTCAGGCACCAGACCCAGCTGTTCCTCCTCTTCCTCATCAGCCACCTCCAGACCTGGGAGCTGCTGACTCTCCATCTGACGGCTGATGGATTGCCCAGGCTCCAACTCTGTCTCTCTCTCTCTCTGACAACTCCATTCCTTCTTCCCCCTTGGAGCTCTCAGGTTGCCTTGATGCTGATCCTGACTCCCACACCTCCTCCTCCTCCTCTGATTCGGCTGCTGGAAGGGCCAGCAGCCGACAGACCACAACAATGGGTTCAGTGCATGGGTCACTTCTCACAGACAAGGTCCCTTAGAGCCAACCCTCCCTCGAAACCTACCTGAGCAATCTGCAACATCTCAGGGTTGAGTCGGTTCAGATGGAAGACAAATTCCGCGAAACCGATCAGCGCCAACTGGATCGTGAACATCTTCCGGAACGTCCAGTAATCGGTGGCATTGGGAAACGTGTGAAGGGCCCATTCCTTCAGCATGCTGCGTGGCACCATGTTGCCCTGAACTTCTTTCAGAATATCCCGGAGAACCTGAGAAGGGAAGCGTAAGTTGATCAGGAGGCGGGTTGATTATGGTGGTTGGCGTAGGATGAAGGTTCTCAACTTGTGGTCCGTGGAACCCCTAAGACTGTGATGGCGAACCTGTGGCACGCGTGCCACCAGTGGCAGGTGGAGCCATATCTGGGACATGCGAGTGTTGCCCTAGCTCAGTTCCAGCGCGCATGTGCACGCCAAGCAGCTGATTTTCGGGCCTTCCGGGCCCACTGGAAATCAGGAAATGGGCTGTTTCTGGCCTTCGGAGGGCTTCCCGTGGGGGGGGGGGCAGGAAGGCCGCTTTTGTCTTCCCCAGGCTCCTAGAAAGGGTCTGGAGCCTGGGGAGGGTGAAAAACGGGCCTTCTGGTCCTACCGGAAGTCAGGAAATGGGTCATTTCTGGCCTTCAGAGAGCCTCTGGAGGGTGGGGAAGGCTGTTTTCACCCTCCCCAGGCTCCAAGAAAGCCTCTGTAGCCTGAGGAGGGCGAAAAATGGGCATATGGGGGGAGTGCAGAGGGGGTCGCACACGCATGCGTGGGGGGGGCAGGATGCATTGAATTATGGGTGTAGGCACGTGTGCATGCGACCCTCCTGTGCTCCCCCCGCTTTTGGCACACGACGGCAAAAAAGCTATCACTGCCGTAAGGGCTGCAATGTCGTCACAGGGAGTCTGCGAAGGCTTGAAGAAATGTTATGATTTAAATCTTGAGTTAAGTCTTGGGGGGCTCCATGGCCATAGTCCATGACCACAAAAGATATTTAAAGGGGGTCTATGGTGAAGAAAAGGTTGAGAACCACTGGTATAGGAGATGATCAGCCTGAGCCTGAGGGAGGGGTCAAACATGTCATCACTCTGAGTCCCTTCTGCCCACAAGAGATCTAAGTCCAGCCCACCTTGAAGTTCTTCTGTTTTTATCCCCCGATAATTTCCCTTGACTGTTAATAGTTCAGATTCTTGTAAAGCGCTTAAGCTTACAATAAATCTTTATACCCATTCGAGCTGTCTGGATCTCCTGATTTTCCTAGCATTTGACAAATGGGTGCCGTGGGGCAGAATCGTGGACCAATTTCTCCTATGTTTCTTGGGAATTTGGATCTTGCAGTTTAACCCAACTGGAGAACACCAAGTTGAGGAAAACAGAGATATTATCTTCTGAAGTTCTTCTTCCATTATCACTTTTGGGGTGGTCCAATCTTACTGTTCCGTGCGGTGCTTCTCAACCTCTTTTAAGATGGATGGACTTCAACTCCCAGCATGATGAGGAATCATGGCTGGGGAATGGCTTCCTCCTACTGGCTGGGGAATCCTAGGAGTTGAAGTCCACGCATCTTAAGATTACCAAGGGTGACAACACTGGACTAGGCGATCCTTCTGGTCCTTCCAACTCTATCATTCATGGCTGGCTGGGGAATCCTGGGTGTTGATGTCCACCCCTCTTCAAGTTCCCAAGGTTGTTGTGGCCTGCTGGTAGCCAGCAGAGCTGGCAGCAGAGTCAGACAGTGGGGAGGTTGGGGAGGAACATGGGCCGGTCCTGGGGGCTGGGGAAAGCTCGGACGAGGACTCTGCATCGGAGGCAGAGAGGGAGTTAGACAGTAGTGAGGCAGAGGAACAGCTGGAGCCCGTTCCCAGTGTGAGCATGTGCAGAGCTGCCAGAAGACGAGAACAACTCAGAAAGCAGGGTCAACTCGGGAGTAAAGCCACACCTTGGAGATGATTGGCCCTTCCGATAGGAAACAAAGGGGGGGTGAACGGAGAGGGGGCTTTTGCAGGAAACAATTCGTTCGGTCGGTCATTTCACGAGTGGAAAGTTCTGTTCGTGACTCTAAGAGACTCTGTGCCAAGTTTTGCCTTGTACTGCATTTGGAAACAAGTTACATGGCAGCTTGCCAAGCGAGATAAGGTTTGTGTTGATAAATATTCCTTTGAAAAACTGTTTGGACAGGCCTTGCTGACTGCGAATGAAAGGAATTCAGTCGTGTAAATAAAAGAGGTTTTGCCGGGACCAATTCCTGCTTCCTGCTTTTTAAGGGAGCCTAGCTCAGAACAAAGGTAGAGAAACACTGGAGTAGGTGATCCTTCTCGTCTTTCCAACTGTCATTCATGGCTAGCTGGGGAACCCTGGGAGTTGAAGTCCACCCATCTTCAAGTTGCTGAGGTTGAGAAAACACCGGTTCAGTTGGTCTCTAAAAGGCTTAGATCAGCCTCAACTCCTTCTACAGGGAAGCTGGGTCTCATGTGCAAATTATCTGGAAGTCACTCGTAATGAATTACTACAGCATGGACTGGCTTAATTAATTGGAGCTGGAAATAAAAGAGGGGAGCTGCTCGGAAAGAACAATCACTGCACTTGCTCAAATTAAATTATTTAGGGAGACAAAATTTCTGCGCGCCGAAGGCAAGTACCTTGGAAAAGAAAAAAAAGAAAAGGAGGCAGATGTTTCAAGTCACTTGATTTTTAAGGCTGGGCCAAGAATGAAAGGTTGCTTATTAGCAGGTGAACTTTCGAGATACGGTGCACCTGGAATTAAAAACGGGTCAAGGACAACCTTTCGGTCTTGCCTATAAATTTTAAACCTTTTAAAGCTAACCATTTCGGCTCAGAAATGGATGAGTAAGGATGGTAATGGAAGATTAATGCGTACCTACTCCTCCTCGGAAAGAGTCAAGACTGTGTTTTAGTCAGAGTAAGGAAATTACGGGAAGGGCGTGGGAACAGGGCTTAAATGCCCAACCGTAAAAGACCAATCTCTTGAGTAAACAACTCCAGAACATAGAATAGGGTTGGAAGGCACCTTGGAGGTCATCTAGCCCAACCCCTGATCAAGCAGGACCCTATTTAATCATGGACAAATGGTTGTCCAGTCTCTTCTTGAAAACCTTCGTACCCACAACTTCTGGAGGTAAGCTGTTCCATGGATTGACTGTTCTCACGGTCAGGAAATTTCTCCTTAGTTCTAAGTTGCTCCTTTCTTTGATTAGTTTCCACCCATTGCTTCTTGTCCTGCCTTCAGACACTTGACTCCCTCTTCTTTGTGGCAGCCCCTGAGATATCGGAAGATGCTATCATGCCACTTCCTGGTCCTTCTTTTCATTAGATTAGACCGGGATCGGCAACTTTAAACACTCAAAGAGCCATTTGGAGCCGTTTCCCAAACAAAAGAAAACAGAATGTTTAATTCAACTAGAGCCTTGATAGTACAGTGGTCTAAGCACTCTGTTATTAACACAGCTGCCTGCAATTTACTCCTGGTTCGAATCTCTCCAAGGCTCAAGGTTGACTCAGCCTTCCATCCTTTCTAAGGTAGGTGAAATGAGGACCCAGTTGTGGGGGGCAATAAGCTGACTTTGTATAAATATACAAAAGGATGAAGGCTATTGCTTAGCGCATTGTAAGCCGCCCTGAGTCTCTGGAGAAAGGTGGCATATAAATCAAATTAAAATTAAAAAAAATAAATAAAAAAATAAAAAAAACTACATATGCTAGTTTTGTGGCCGTTCAGGAAATAGTCAGGCACGGGAAGAGTTTTGTGGCTCCCGGTGTTTTCTTCTGAAACTTTTCTTTTCTTGGATTTATCCATGGTTGGCCTACCAGGAGTTGAAAAGCTCAATAAATCGTGTGCCGGCAGGTGTCGCACACTGGCGATTGTGACTAATATTTTGAGCAACAGGGAGCCGCAGCAGAGGGATGAAAGAGCCACATGCGGCTCCAGAGCTGAGGGTTGCTGACCCCTGGACTAGAAATACCCAATTCCTGCAACTGTTCTTCATATGTTTCAGCCTCCGGTCCCCGAATCATCTTTGTTGCTCTTCTCTGCACTCTTTCTAGAACCTGAATCTCATTTTTGAACAGTGGTAACAAGAACGGGACACTAAATGGACAGTCCTTTCTGGGGTGTGATACCTGATGACTGGCCTGGGTCCCTCGTGCCTGGACGGTGGCCAGCCGGTCGTAGTAGCGAGAAATGGGGCTGTCGTGCTCAATCCCTTTCTTGGCACAGCGTTGCTTGTAGATCTCCACCAGGGAGAGAGAAGAAGGATTGTCCTCCACAAGACGCATCTGGGGAGAGACAGCCACGACACGGGGAACTGGAGAAAGGAGACAAGAGAAAAAAATCAGAACACAAAATTCAAACTGGGTGGATACGACCTCGTAGACGACCCTCATTCTGTCAAGGACCTCGGAGTATTCATCTCTAATGATCTAAGCGCCAGAGCTTACTGTAACAGCATTGCCAAAAAGACATTAAGAGTTGTCAACCTAATCTTGCAAAGCTTCTTCTCCGGTAATATTGCACTGCAAACTAGGGCATACAAAACCTTTGCTAGACCAATTCTTGAATACAGCTCGTCTGCCTGGAACCTGCACTGCATATCGGACATTGAGCGAGTCCAGAGGTATTTCACAAGAAGAGTCCTCCACTCCTCTGCTCGCAATAAAATACCTTATGCCACCAGACTCCAAATTTGGGGCTTAGACAACTTAGAACTATGCCGACTTCAGTCTGACCTAAACCTAGTACACAAAATTATCTGCTACAATGTCCTACCTGTCAATGACTACTTCAGCTTCAACCGCAACAATACACGAGCACACAATAGATACAAACTCAAGGTAAACCGCTCCAAACTCAATGTCGAAATCCACAGCTGGCTGGGGAATTTAGGGAGTTGAACTCTCAGAATTTTGGAATTTGAATTTTGGGATTTGAAATCCACAGTGGGCTGGGGAATTCAGGGAGCTGAAGTCTCCGAATTTTTGGAGTTGAAGTCCACAGGTCTTTAAAGTTGCCAAAGTTGGGGCAGCCTCTGTCCTAGCCTCTGAGTTGAGCAGCATGGACTCTGGATTTTTCACTCAAAATCATGCAAGGTTTGTTCACCCCTCAATATCACAGCCACAAGATCGAGTTGATTGATCCGCTGCAGATGCTTGGGGGGTGGGGAATTCAGTCAGCACATTTCTAAAGCTTTCCCGACGTTCTACTGGAACCTTTACAACAAGGTCAGGCAACAGCTGCAACTCTGAACGTGGCACACGCCCTCTTCTGAAGGAGAGAAAAGGGAGGAACGTGAGGTCCGTGCTTTGCCGATGGATGGGCAGCCTTTCTATTGTCAAGGCTTGGATTGCTTCCGAGGTAACCTCTGGAGGAGGGAGAGAGAGCAAACAATGGGTGGAGATTGAAAGAGAGAGCAAAGGACTGGGAGACCGGACCATCTAAATAAAAGCTGTAGTATTTCATCAATCATTATGCAGAAGCTGATTAAGTGAAGAGCATCGTGGTCTTTGGCCATGAGAGAGAGGGGGGGGGGGAGGCAGAAGGAGAAAGAGAGAGAAGGAAAGAGGGAGGGAGAGAGAGGAGAGAAAGAGAGAGGCAGAAGGTGAAATAGAGAGGAGAGGAAGGAGGGAGGGAGAGAGAGACAGAAGGAGAAAGAGAGAGAAGGAAAGAAAGAGAGGAGAGAAAGAGACAGGAGAAAGAGAGAGAAGGAAAGAGGGAGGGAAAGAAGAGAGAAAGAGAGGCAGAAGAGGAAATAGAGAGGAGAGAGAAGGAGGAGGAGGGAGAGAGAGAGAGGCAGAAGGAGAAAGAGAGAGAAGGAAAGAGGGAGGGAGAGAGGAGAGAAAGAGAGAGGCAGAAGGTGAAATAGAGAGGAGAGAGAAGGAGGGAGGGGAGAGAGAGACAGAAGGAGAAAGAGAGAGAAGGAAAGAAAGAGAGAGGAGAGAAAGAGACAGGAAGAAAGAGAGAGAAGGAAAGAGGGAGGGAAAGAAGAGAGAAAGAGAGAGGCAGAAGAGGAAATAGAGAGGAGGGAGAGAGGAGGGAGGGAGAGAGAGATGGAGGGAGAGAGAGAGAGATGGAGAACGAGAGAGAAGGAGAAAAGGAGAGAGGGAGGGAGGGAGAGAGAGAGACAGAAGGAGAAGGAAAGAGAGAGGAGAGAAAGAGAGACAGAAGGAGAGAGGAGAGAGAAGGAGAGGGAGGGAGAGAGAGGAGATAAAGAGAGACAGAAGGAGAAAGAGAGAGAGGGAGAGAGGAAGGGAGAGAGGAGAGAAAGAGAGAGGCAGAAGGGGAAAGAGAGAGGAGAGGGAAGGAGAGGGAGGGAGGGAGGGTGGGGTCAGCTAGTTTGTCCAGAAGCCACCTCCAAGTGATATATTCTTCATATTGGGTTTCCAAGCCCAAAAATACAGACCAAACCCTCCGTCATTAAGCGATGGGGTCATTAAGTGAGTCATCAGCCTTCGCAAGGTTTAACTTCCTATTTACGGACCCGTCCAGATTGCTGTTTCTTTAAAGATGAAAAGCTACCTCGGGTTTTTATTTGCCAGACTCGGATAGAGTAAATTGGACTTGGTTGCAAATAAACAAGAGCTGTCAAAATTTGGGTGCAGAGAAAAGAAAGGGAGGAAGGAAAAAAATAAGCATTAAAGTAACAATACATCCCATCTCAAATGGGTTGTTAAAAATGACTCTGATTGAAGTATTTACTTTCCGAGCATATTCTTGGTGGGTGGTTTTGGGGTTTTTTCTCTCTCTCTTTCTCTCTTTTATTGTACGCAAAGAATTATTGTGTGACAGGCCACTATATATACTCAGCCATCAGTATACTCACGGAATGTTAAAATATATATATCTATATATATAATAAAGCCTCCAGAACCAAAAGGTTTTGTTTGAATACTGTAATCAAATATAATTGAGAAGCAAAAAACGACGGACATAAATTGCAACCCAAGAGAAATCTTGACGTTTTAACAGAGCGCTATGAATTAACAATGCCAGTGTTATGTTATTTTGCCAACAGAGGTTTTACAGGTAAGACTACAACTGCAACCATTGTTGCTAAGCAAGACAGTTGTTAAGTAAATCAATTTTATGACCAGTCCAACTTCCTGCTCTGAAAAACAATCACCCAGTCTCTGTCCAAGGACCTCCAATGAAGAATAGAATAACAGAGTTGGAGGTCTTCTGATCCAACCCCCTGCTTAGGCAGGAAACCCTACACCACTTCAGACAAATGGTTATCCAACATCTTAAAAACTTCAAGTGTTGGAGCATTCACAACTTCTGGAGGCAAGTAGTTCCACCGATTAATTGTTCTCACTGTCAGGAAATTTCTCCTTAGTTCTAAGTTGCTTCTCTCCTTGATGAGTTTCCACTCGTTGCTTCTTGTCCTACCTTCAGGTGCTTTGGAGGATAGCTTGACTCCCTCTTCTTTGGGGCAGCCCCTGAGATACTGGAGGACTGCTATCATGTCTCCCCTAGTCCTTCTTTTCATTAAACTAGACATACCCAGTTCCAGTAACCGTTCTTCCTATGTTTTAGCCTTTCAGTCCCCTAATCCTCTTTCTTGCTTTCTAATTTCTAATTATTCTCCAAAGCACTAGAGGATGGAACAAGAAGCGATGGGTGAAAGCTAATCCAAGCTAGAACTAAGGAGAAATAGGGGGGACATGATAACAGTGTTCCAATATCTCAGAGGCTGCCCCAAAGAAGAGGGAGTCAAGCTATTCTCCAAAGCACCTGAGGGCAGGACAAGAAGCAACGGGTGGAAACTAATCAAGGAGAGAAGCAACCTAGAACTAAGGAGAAATTTCCTGACAGTGGCGACAATTCATCAGTGGAATAACTTGCCTCTAGAAGTTGTGAATGCTCCAACACTGGAAGTTTTCAAAAATAGACCTGGCTAACCAGTAGATTGGGATAAGGTCTCCTGCCTTTAGCAGTGGGTCAGACTAGAAGGCCTCTGAGCTCCCTTCCAGCCCTATGATTCTATCTTCAATGTTCTCATTTTTTGGCCCATTCGTCTTCTTACCGTTCAGCCACCACTGCAATCTCTCCACCCCCCCACTCCCCACAACGTTAAAGCAATTTTTGGGGGGGGGGCGCATCTCCATCTTCTCTTAGAGGGACGCGGTGGCTTAGTGGCTAAGAAGCTGAGCTTGTCGATCAAAAGGTCGGCAGTTCAGCGGTTCGAATCCCTGGTGCCGTGTAACGGGGTGAGCTCCCGTGACTTGTCCCAGCTTCTGCCAACCTAGCAGTTTGAAAGCAGGTAAAAAATGCAAGTAGAAAAATAGGGACCACCTCTGGTGGGAAGGGAACAGCGTTCCGTGCGCCTTCGACGTTGAGTCATGCCGGCCACGTGACCACGGAGACGTCTTCGGACAGCGCTGGCTCTTCGGCTTTGAAACGGAGATGAGCACCGCCCCCTAGAGTCGGGAACGGCTAGCGCATACGTGCGAGGGGAACTTTTACCTTTACCTCCATCTTTTCAAACTCACCGGTGAAGAACAGGTGTCTCTTCGTGGTTTCTTTCCTCTTTTCCAAACAGGGGTTGAGGAGGCGAAGGAGCTGCAGGACCCGTTCCTCTCTACGCGACTCGGTCAAACAAGCGTCGTTCATGACGAGGTAGGGGTAAATCTTCCCGTTATGGCCTCGGATATACAGCCTTCTAGCTGCGGTGTTGTGTTTCTGTACGATCTCTACCCTGGGCATAAATCTATCGGGGGAGAGAAGAAGAAGAAGAGAGAACAAAAAAAAAAGAGAAAGATATAAAGCAGCCGAATTTCCCCAATTCTAAAGCTTCGTTTCTCTCCTTCGAGATGAAAGTCAGATTTTTTAAAAGAGAGAGAGAGAGAGAGAGAAAAGAGGAATTCTATTACCTTACTTAAAAAGCTAACAATAGGAAGCACATTATGCCGTTTTGACGAACGCTGGCATTATGAATTTTTATAATGATACAAGCTTTTAAGCAACGCCGTGTGTTTTTTTTTTCCCCCTCCCTATTATGGGGCTCAGCCGAGATTAGTGTTTTCGGTGAAAAAGCTTCCGGAGATACACACACAAATCCTTTTGTCTCTTCCAAACGGAACGACAAAAACTTCTTTCAAACACGCGCAGAGGGAGACGGAAGGGAACAAGTTTGCTGAGCCAGAAACAACGCAACCTCTAGGCGGGATGTGCAATTTCCTGAGCGCCAGCCTTATTGAAACGATAGCCTCCTCGAGGAAGCTTTGGACTACAGGCCCCATGAGTCCCAGCTTGGAAAAGACTGGTCTATATACTAGGTAGTCCTTGATTGTGCAACCATTTGTTTAGTGACCGTTTTGAAGTTACGACGGCACTGGAAAAAAACTGACTGGTGGCCGTTTCCCGCTCTTAATTTAGCACATCATCCCTGCAACAAGGAAGTGGGGGGTTTGCTCTCTGTTTAGAGACAAACTCCTTCTAGCACTGATGATGTTACCTAGTTGGGTAATTAAATGTCTGCAAGAAAACCATCAAGCTCAAGAGAGCGTCAAGGACCCCACCACTTTCCTCTTCCTCCTCCTCCTCCTTTCTCCTTCCCTGCCTCCTCTTCCACTCCACAAACCCCACTCCCTTCTAATACTGATAACGTTACACAGTTGGGTAATGAAATGTCTGCAAGAAAACCCAGCTCAGACAGCACCAAGGGCCTTCCAGTCCTCCTCACCCAGTCCTCCTCCTCTTCTCCATCTAACACTGATAACATTATCTAGTTGGGTAATGAAACATCTGCCAGAAAACAACTACGCTCAGTGAGTACCAAGGACCCCAGAATTCAATCCCGAGTTACAAATATTCTCTTTTATCAGTGTCCTCTACCATCAAAAGTATCTTGCTCTTAAAGCCACACCTTGAAAAGATTTTCAATGCATCCATTAAAAGAAAACTTAAAGACAACTGTTTCTCGAGAACCATACAACATTACAACCAAGTTCTTTATTTTACCAGCCTTTTCTTACCGGGCAATTTTGATGTAGTAGTGAGTCGGTTTTGGCATCAGGAATTCCCCAGGAATTTCCACTTCGGCTGTCTGGGCAGAGAAGTTGCTAAGAAAACGACACTTTTCCTCGATGAGAAAAAATTTGGGCAGCTGCTTGGTTTTGGCCTCCAGGATTTTGATCCATTTCTTCAGTTTCGAAATGAGATTGTGGAGTTTCATGGAACCCGGCACGCTGAAGTCGAAATCTACGAGAGAGAAAGTAAAAAAAAAAGAAGCAAGCATTTGTTAGAAACTGAGATGAAAAAAGCGTTAAGGTATACCTGTGACGCAGACTCCGTAAGAGCCTCGGTAGTACAGTGGTCTAAGGCACCCTGTTATTAAGCTGGTTATTAAGACCAGCTGCCTGCAATTACTGCAGGTTCGAATCTCGCCAAGGCTCAAGGTTGACTCAGCCTTCCATCCTTTCTAAGGTAGGTAAATTGAGGACCCAGTTGTGGGGGCAATAAACTGACTTTGTATAAATATACAAAAGAATGAAGGTTATTGCTGAGCACATTGTAAGCCGCCCTGAGTCTCCGGAGAAGGGCAGCATATAAATCAAATAAAATAAAAAAAAGTTGGTTTTCAGAATTTTGCTTCCTTTCCCTCTTCTTTCTACCGGTTTAAACGGATGTCACAATGAAAAGCGTCAGAAAAAAGCAACAAAACCCCAAATAGGAATGTCGTACATCTTCAGAGGTGTAGGAAATCTGGGAAGACACGGCTTTCTTGCCGATTTTTTCACAAGTTATATGATTTCCGGTATTTGGGTGGTGCGGTGGCCTAGAGGCAGCGCTCTCGCCTCACAATCAGGAGGCTGTGAGTTCGATCCTAGGTAGAGGCAGATATTTCTATCTCTGGGCACAATGAGAATATATCTACTGAACAAAACTCCACATTGGCAACAGGAAGGGCATCCGGCCACTAAACACTCAGTTCCATTCAGTTGCCCAGATTCCACCTTGCAAGGGATTATGGGGTCATTAAAAGAAGATTTCCGGTATTTACTTTATTGTTCTGAATCTATATTTTTCCTCGCTGATATTTAGTTAAAAGTGGCTTAGTGGTTCCTGGAGGGGAAAAGCGGAATATAAATCATGCACAGTCAAAGTTAAGAAACTTTCAGCACTTTATCCTCTAAGGTTTAAAATAGATAAGCGACAGTGACCTAAGATGATCTGTTCCAACTTATACAGTGTCAAAACAAAATACGTTTCGACATTTTGTGAGTGTTACTTGTTGGTGGGATAACCCTACTTATAAAAGGAGAAAAAAAAAAACCTGAACATTTCATTCTGTGTGGCAGTTAATTGCATAAACGTAGGTAGGTCATTTCTTTCAAATCAAGTCAACTTCCGAAAGGTTAACTCGATGTGCAGTAAATCAGAACAGAACAGAAAAAAAAAAAAAACAGGGACCTTGAAGGTCATCTAGTCCAACCCCCAGGCCAAGCAGGAATCAAAGACAATTTTGTTTGTAAAAAGAAAAAAGGCAGGCAGAGATCATATTGCTCTACAGAAGCATATTATCTTTCTTTTCTTTTCTTTTTTTTTAAGGAAAATATGCCCAAAGATTCATATTTGTTTAGAGGAAATCAAATCTCATTCATTCGTTCGTTCAATTCATTCAACTTATAGACTGCCCAATAAGTACAGACTCAGTTATGGAGACTCTAGAAAGAGTGCGGAGAAGAGCAACCAAGATGATGGATGAGGGGACTGGAAGCTAAAACACACGAAGATCGGTTGCAGGAAATGGGTATGTCTAGTTTGATGAAGAGAAGGATTTAGGGGAGACATGATAGCAATCTTCCACTATCTCAGGGGCTGCCCCAAAGAAGAGGAAGTCAAGCTATTCTCCAAAGCACCTGAAGGTAGGACAAGAAGCAACGGGTAGAAACTAATCAAGGAGAGAAGCAACTTAGAACTAAGGAGGAATTTCCTGACAGTGAGAACAATTCATCAGTGGAACAACTTCCCTCCAGAAGTTGTGAATGCTCCAAAACTGGAAGTTTTTTAAGAAGAGGTTGGATAACCATTTGTCTGAAGTGGTGTAGAGTTTCCTGCCTAAGCAGGGGGTTGGACTAGAAGACCTCCAAGGTCCCTTCCAACTCTGTTATTCTCTTTTCTGTTTTTATACCAGTTTAGTAAACGGGTTTTTTTCTTAAAAAAAAGAAAAGAAAAGAAAGAAAACTATCCATAACAGTTAAATCAGGAAAACGGCAATAGATGAGTTGTTGGTGCCACTGGAATTATCTTGCTTAGAGATGCCAATATCTGCCTTTCAAGATTTTTGACAGCACATATATTTTCTAGTTTGGTCTGGCATTTTCATTAGGCTGTTCCTAAAAAGCAATTGACAGGCAGTTGACACTGGATAGTTTTAATCCATTTTCCCCCCTCCCTAATATTATTTTCATGGCCTGTCTCACACTTTGTATTCCATTTGTCCCCAAACGTCTCCTTTTTATCACCCCTGTAATCATCTTTAATAACGTGCGATTCTGTGTTATTAGTTGCTTTACTGTGAACTGCTTTGGAAGGGTTTTATAAAATTTAATTGAAAGAGGAATCCGAGGATGGGAAAAGACAGACTTCAGTGTCTTTCAAGTATTTATACGCCGAATCCGCCCCGTTGTGTTTAAGTAACAAAACTGGTGGCTGGGATTTGTTAAGCTCCACATTAACCCAAAAGGGATGCAGTGGCTCAGTGGCTAAGACGCTGAGCTTGTCGATCGAAAGGTCGGCAGTTCAGAGGTTCGAATCCCTAGTGCCGCGTAATGGGGTGAGCTCCCGTGACTTGTCCCAGCTTCTGCCAACCTAGCAGTTCGAAAGCACGTAAAAAATGCAAGTAGAAAAACAGGGACCACCTTTGGTGGGAAGGTAAGAGCGTTCCGTGCGCCTTTGGCATTGAGTCATGCCGGCCACATGACCACGGAGACGTCTTCGGACAGCGCTGGCTCTTCGGCTTTGAAACAGAGATGAGCACCG